TGTTGGCCTGGCTGCAGGATCAATTGTAGCTTGGTTCTGGGTCATCTGATGTCTGAGCACAGATGACATGCCATTAAGGGTCCCATAATGGGATTGGTATAAATTGGCTTGCTGATATGTTTAATCTGTGAAGTTTGTAAACGCTCATCTCTGTCTTAAATGGTTCAGTACTGCACAGTCAATTGTTTCTTTCAAGTAAAAGGTGAAAGAACAGTTCGCACAGTCACTCTTCTTTGTACTTGATTAATTTTTTAAAAATATTTCTTTACATATTTTTTATAAATATATATATATATATAATATATAAGCTAAAAAGTATTTTCATGTGGTAAAAATAGCCTAAATATTTCTTCTTCACAGCAAAAGCTTGTCTTCCATCTTTTTTATTCACTATAAGAAAATCTTTTTTATTCCCAATCCTAAAAGAGTGAAAAAAAGTAATTTCATTCTGTTGTTATTTTATTCTATTGATCTTAACTGATCTTATGGAAAAAATCACTTGAATCCCATCTGTTGACTTAGCCAAGTGAACAAGATCATGTCGTAATAATAACTTGGACCGACCAACCAACCTTACTTTTGTAATTGTTTAGGAACAAAGTTTCCTTAGTGAAATCCATAACCTAAAAAGGTTAAAGAAACCTCAAAATTCAATAACTCAACGGCAGTGAAATCCACTTCTTTTGCCCATTGAACCCTATAATAGGTTGTAAAATAAAACTCCATTACTCTCATGGACACCAAATAATCTCTAACCAAGTTATATATATATATATATAGAGAGAGAGAGAGAGAGAGAGAGATAATGTCCTTTATGTTCACTTGTTATCAATTTAAAATATTCAAAACCTTTTAAACATCTTTTAAATACTCTAATTCAGAAAAATTATAAATATATATATATATATAGTAAAAAAGTAGGAGGAATGGGAAGAAAAGAGAGGTGGAGGAATGTGTGTGTGTGTGTGTGTGAGGGGGGTGACGTTAAAAGTTTTGGAGCAAAAGGTGTTTAGAAATTAATTTTAATTACATGAATTGGTAATACATTAATGAGAAATATTTGACTATACTAAGTTTAATATGAGGTCCCAAGCAGAGCAAAAATGGAGTTTCAACTCAATACTTCTAACTCTTCTCTTAATTTCCTTACCAAAACAACTAAAATCTTAAGCTGCAATTTATGTTCGCTAAAACATTGAATAATATTACATATCAGTCTAAAGGTAAAGAGTATCTATTACGAAACATGTGAGAATAAAAGATAGTACGAATAATCTAATTATACAATCTGAGCCACCCCCCAAAATCAAGTCCAACTGCATATTCAGACTATAGATTTTATATCATGAGCAGACAATCAATATCAAACTACAAGCTGCAGTTGCTTTGTTCTCTTCTCTACACTCTATATGGCTTAAAAAAAGAGTAGCTTATAGTTTAGTTTCCTCTAATTTGGTTATTGAAGTTCAATTTCTATGATTTACTTAGTAAAGTTCATCTGAATTGGTTTTCTCATTAGTTTTAGGTAATATTATCTTGTCTGTTTCTTTGAATTTTTTTTTCTTAATTTTGATTGATCTAACTTAACTGCAAATTATTAAGTGTCTTTTTTTATAAGTCAATAAATATTTAAAATTTAAATGGATTCTTGAAAAAATAACAAAACACGAAACCATGAAACATAAAACAACTACAAATATATATATATATATATATATATATATAGGGTTTCAAATTACAATTCTACTACATTACAAAAGATGATATTATGTTTACTAAAAAAATAATAAATAATTATTTAATCAGGAAACAATAAACCAAGCATGGAAAGAAGATGGGTAGGGCCAAACTCAATTTGCCACGTTAAAATGAAACAAAGCATCGAGCTATTCATACCCATAAAAAGACCACAAAATTATATAGCTTATAAATATCAGAGAATCAGGCATTAGTATTGTGCCATAATTAAGTGAATATATATATATATATATATCCTTTACATCTATTTTTAAGTTAAGAGAAGCCATATATTTCTTAATAAAATTAATTCACACATCTAATATTCACATTCTCTTACGAAACACACTGACCTAAAACTTGAGTTAGAAAATTCTCCCATAAGAACCAGCCTTCAAGATTTTGATTTTTGAAGCAGACGGGAACCCCACCCAAATCACCTTTTTTTCTTCTTACTCATTATTTATGAGACAACTCTCAAGAGAATGAATACATGCATAGTACTGATAACTCATCTTAATTGAAGAAACAAACTCAAAAAACTCTTAACATTAAGACTATTTCTAAGTTTGACAAAACTCTCTCTACATCGTAGATGTTTTGTACAAGCCATTAGATTCTCCATTGAAGGATTATATGAATCAACTAATTTTTTTTTTTTTTTTTTTTTTTTTTTTTTTAAACTGAAACTGAAAAAGTTCACTTATGCTCAGTTAAATAATTTTACAAACAATTGTTGTTATGAAGTTATTGTTCCTTAAACCACTCCAAGTTAGAAGCACATCATGACTTGAATTCAAAATCTTATATTAGCAAGGTCCTTACAAAAAACTTCCTATCACCACAGTCAACCCTCAGGTGATTAAGAAATCCTCTTACTAATAAAATATCCTCTGTTAAACAAAACATATAACATTTTCTTGTTTTCCGATGGAAGCTTAATCCTCACCATCCTAACACTGCCATTTTCTAACTAACCTTTCAGTAGTCATTTGCAAAATATACCCTCACAACCTTAACAAAGAAAAAGGAGAGTCCCCAACTACCCTAAATAACCCTTAATATAGACGAAAGGGAACCAGCTACTACTTTGCCTAATATCAAGAAACAACCATCAACAAATAAATTTGTAATTCTTTTTTTATATACAATAAACTTCTACTTCGTAGAAATCTTGAGCACTATTATAATGTGATCACACTCTGAAACAACAATGGCTCTGTGCTCAAAACTTGCTTTGCTACAAAATATTGGCCTGTGACCCAAGAAATCCCCAAAAATCATTAGTCTCTAACTAATAGTAACTCTAATTTCATTGCAAACACAGAATAATCAAAGAGCAACTTGCATGAAATTACCAAAAGCCACTGCTCAAGTTGTACCAACTCCACACAGGGGTTAACTCGGGTTCCTGTCCTCTAAGACTTGTACCCATCCTTTACAATGCCCCAAAAGTATATTTTAAAAAAAAAAAAAAAAAAAAAAAAAAAAAAAAAAAACTTTTATCAAATCAGGTTTTCTCCTATGCCATGAGGATCAGAACCAGATACATCAGTGATATGAATCCCTCAGCAACAAATGAACGAACATAAAACTAGTAGTTAAGTTTTCGACCTCAATGGAAGACCCACCTCTACTCTCTTAATTTCAAAGATGAGCATCCTCCACATCTTGAGAACGAACATTTCAGCTTCTTCATCTAAAATAGACTGCAAGAGCTCCAGCATTTGGGAAGCCTTAACATGTTCCTGAGTACTGGATACAATGTAATCAACCAGTGTGGTTTCCTCTTCCCCCAAAAACTCCGTAATCTTCTTTGAAATCCATGGCCTCATTCTCTCATGCAGTTCATGCTGTAAAAATTAGAAACACAAATGTAGTCACATGGTAGAAAACAGAAACTAAGAATGCGGATATACTATAAAAAAACAGTAAAAATTATTTGATTTTTCAAGGACTGCATAACATATGATCTAGAGATGAAAGCTTAAAATACAACATAGCTTGTTCATAAACTGATGTATTGCAACAAATACTTTCAAATATAGTTACGAAACAGAGTAGAAAAAGAGCAACAAAAGAACAGTCATTCAATAAGATTAAGGCCAACTTCAGCAAACAACAGAAGCCCATTCCGATACCACAACAAAAATTTTGATGTAAAGTAGATTTAAAAAATTAAACTACTTGTTTACCTTGTCATAAATAGCCCAATTTATCTCATAAGAGAATAACTCCTCCTTAGTTTTTGGAATCGTATCAATTAATTGCTTTGCATCCAAAAGCTTCTTATTATCTGGTGCCTTCATTTTTTCGATCCCACGTTCACGGTCCTTGTCACGGTCAACAATCTTATCCTTACCCTCATCTCTGGTTCGACCATTATCCTCTTCAATTCGGTCTTTATCCCGATGGCTTGACTTATCATGGGAACGTCTACTCCTTTCCCTTTCTAAATCAGGCTTCTCATCTCTAGGATTAACATTAGAGATACGCTTTGCAAATTCTGCCGCTGCAACCAAATTTGGCGGAGGTGCTCCAGAGGCAGCAGGTTGTACAGCCTGCAGTTCCTCAGTTGAGTAATCAATGGGAACCAAAGGTCGCATCCTTTTGTCCTTATGTGCTTCATCTTCCTCCTCCTCATGGAAAACAGATGGGACAGCAGTACGTTTTCCAGACCCAACAAGACCAAACCCCAACTTTCTGACTGGAGCACTGCCACCCTGTTGGGTATCTGATGTAGTAATAGTAGCCATAGTAGATTCATCCCTAGTCCCATTTTGTGTAACACCATCATCTGTCGTGGAGAATCAATTTTTACTTTAAAACATGAGAAGGGGAAGGAGGAGGCACGAAAAATACACATGATTCAAAAGAATGAAATAGAAGAAGGATGAAACCTTACCTAATGTATGTTTCTCATGTGCAAGATCACCTTCTTTATCTTGGACAACAGCCTTATCCTTGCTTTCAATGTTAGATTCTTCAGTTTCTTCACTTCCATTCACTTCATGTGCAGTTAAAAGCCTTAGAGCATCTCTTTGTTGCTGCTGCAGCTTCTCCTCCTCAGCCTTCCTCTTGGCCTCAGCAATTTCTTCCTCTTCTTTCAATCTGTCAGCTAAATCATCCTCTTTTTCCCTTAGTCTCTTCTTTCGCTTGTCCTCCAAAGCACTCCTGTGCCACCTTTTTCTAGAATCATCATCATCTTCTTCTTCATCGTAAAGGATCTCCTTCTTCCTCTTACGCTCCCGCTCTTTCTCCCTGTCCTTCTCATACTGGCGTTCTTTCTCTTTCTCTCTTTCTCTTCGCTCCCATAGTTTAAGACGACCTTGATATGCACGCTCTCCATCCTCAATCTTCCTTCTTAACTCTCTTTCTTTCCTAGCTCGTTCTCTCTCTGCCTCTCTTTCATATCTTTCAATTTCCTGTTCCTTCTCTCGCTTTACATCCCGCTCTCTGTCCCTATCTCTGCTCCTCCTGTCATATTTCCTACTCCTATCAGGCGAACT